ACACGAATAAATGCTGGCAAGCAAACAAACAAACAAAAAACAAACAAACAAACAACAACACAACAAGCATACTCCCCTTAAGAAACCCTCCCAAACCGATCCGGAAAAAATCCTCATCGTCGTCCTTATGACTGCGGAGGCTCTGTTCCTGTCTGGTATGTGCTGGTCCTCGCGACGCTTACAGGCTTGATTCAGGATGACCACCTCGGATTACAAGGGACACTCGACAAAGGAACAAGGCTCCTACTCGAGATGTTCTGAAGATTCAGGCACCCAGATGTCACCACACCTATGCTTTTACAAGGACTCCCGATAGCCGCATCGGATGAATAGCATGAGCCTGGGGGCCCACAGTGAGGGGTTCCCACTCGAGACTTCCTCGCAATTCACTTACACGCGAGCACCAGGAACATCCTCTCAATTTACACTGGCCGCCTCGGATTCGAACACGAAGGTGCGAACGTCATAGGGTGGGACTTCCGCTCGAGACTTCCGCGCGATTCACGCAGAGACGAGTGAGCGCCGGAGAGGTCCTTCCAGTTTGCTCAGGGACGGGGCTCCCGCTCGAGACCTCCTCTGGATTCAGGGCCCCAGGTGCCACCAAACCTCTTGTTTCTTCATGGGCCTCCGATAGCCGCATGGGAGGACCCCATAGGGAGGGGCTACCGCTCGAGACTCTCTAGCGATTCACTCGTGGAAGAGGACTCCGCTCGAGACTTCCTCGGAATTCAGGCCTCCAGGTGCCACCAAACCTGTGGGGTTACATCTTGTTGTTTCATGGTTACCTCGGATTCGTACATGGAAATGGGGACCCCAGAGGAAGGAGCTCCCGCTCGAGACTTCCTCGCGAATCACTCACGGACGACGCTCCCGCTCGAGCCTTCCTCGGAATTCAGGCACCCAGGTGTCACCAAACCTGTGTTGTTACATGTTTTTTTCTATGGCTACCTCGGAATCGAACATGGAAGTTGGACCCCACAGGGGCTCACGCTCGAGACTTCCTCGCGAGTCACTCACTGACGAAGCTCCCGCTGAAGAGTTTCTTGGAATGAGAGCGTGCAGGAGTGAGGAAGTGAGCGAGTGAGGGAGTCAGTGAGTGAGTAAGTGAGTGAGTGATTGGTAATGATGACGATGATGATGATGATGTTGATATGTTGATGATGATGATGCTGATGATGGTGTGGGTTCCTGTTCCTGCGCGGGGCTGAATTAATTATGATGGTGAGTGAGGGGTGTGGTGGTGAACTCGATGGTGAGTGTTAAAGGAGGAGGGGGACAAAAGGAGAGAGTGAGTTAGTGATGATGATGATGATGATGATGATGATGATGATGATGATGATGATGATGATGATGATGATCAGGATGATGATGATGATGCTGATGCTGATGCTGATGCTGATGCTGATGATGATGATGATGATGATGATGATGATGATGATGATGATGGTCATGGTGACGATGGTGTTGTGTGCGTTCGTTCCTGCACCGGGGGGTCCAGAAAAGCACTAACCCTACATTGGATGCGGATAACACAACAAATGCACCAACAACACAGTAAACAAAAAAGGCGCGACGATAAGGAAAAACAGGGACACGGGATATGCGATCGGGATCACGAATGCCGAAGAACAGCGCAACAGGGAAAGAGCAGGATCCGAAGAGAGAGGGCTGCAGAGGCAAGGTGGGATGCGAAAGCAGAGGGAGCAGGGCCTTCGGGGGTGTCAGGAGGTCTCCAGAGGTTCCCGAAGCTCCCAACAGGCTCTTCGAGAACTCCAAAAGCAACACGATCCTTGACCATCACTCCCTCCTTCTCCTCCTCCTCCTCCTCCTCCTCCTCCTCTTCCTCCTCCTCCTCCTCCTCCTCCTCCTCTTCCTCCTCCTCCTCCTCTCCCTCCCCCTCCTCCTTCCTTCTCCTCCTCCTCCTCACCCCCCCTCCCCCTCCTCCACCTCCTCCCCCCCTCCTCCTCCTCCTCCTCCTCCTCCTCCTCCTCCTCCTCCTCCTCCTCCTCCTCCTCCTCTCCTCCTGCTCTTCCCCAGAGAGAGGACAGCAGAAGAGACAGGCAACCGCATGCGGAACCTGCCTCTGAAGGTCCGATGTCTGAAACACCGGCGGGTAGTCCGCGGGCCCACGGCCCGCCGGCGGGCAGCTCTGATTTCTTCGTGGCTTGGACCGGCGCTGGACCCCCTGGCGCGAGGGGCTTGGGCGTGGCTTAACGGGGGGGTCATAAATTGGGGGGGGTCAGAAGCGGTCTCCTGTCGTGCCCCCTCTGGAGCCCCAGGGGGCCCGTTGAGGTACCGTTTGGGTACCTTTTCGGACCACCCTCGACCCCCCCCTTTATGACCCCCTCATGAAGCAACGCCCAAGGGGCGCCCCAGGGACTGCGCCGGAGGCGCCGCCAGTGGGGCCCAGCGCCAATTCCAAGAAGTCCGCGCGGGCCTCCGACAACTCCCGCCAGCCATCTGGGCGCAGGTACGTTCAAGGGTATCGTTATTTCCCCTCTTCCTGGACCCCTGTTCCATTCGGGGAGAGGTGTCAGAAGGCCATTTTTCGCCCAAGATGGCTCCAAAGGGCGTCCGATGCTCCAAGATGGCCCCAAATATGGCTCAAGATAGATGGCTCAAGATGGCTTCCAACATGCTCCAACAGGCCCCAAAGAGCGCTCCAAGACGATTCCAAGTGTTCTCGGAGCCCCCCAAGCCCCCCCCCCAAGAGACCAAAATATTTCGAACACCCGAGGAGATTCAATGATTCGTACCTTCCCGCCTTTTGGCTTCCAGCGCGCTATTGAGACCTCAAGATGGCCCCAAGATGGCCCAAGAGAGCCCCAAGAGGGGCCCAAAAAACCTTCAAGACGGCCTTAAGAGCGCCCCAAGAACACGGTCTTGAGGGTCTCCAGAGACGGTGTTGAGGACTCTTGAGGGGGGCCCAGATGTAGGACCCACCCTTTTGATCGATGGCCTTCAAAATGGCTCTAAGAGGCCATCGAGGGCTCCCAAGAGGCCATGAAGAGGGCTCCAAGCGGGCCCCAAGACCCACCAAAAGAGCCCCAAGAGGACCCCGATCCCCGACAAAAGAGCCCCAAGACGGCCCAAAGAGGGCCCCGAGAGAGCCCCAAGAGGACCCCAAGAGATCGAAAAATATGCAAATATGGCTGCCAGAGTCGTTGCCCCCTCTTGCTCTTCTCATCGTCTTCGTCCGCATCCTCGTAGTCCTCTTTCTCCTCCTCCTCCTCCTCCTCCTCCTCCTCCTCCTCCTCCGCCTCCTCCTGATGATTCCTGATCCCTGATGTCGTTAGAAGTCCTCGCCTCCTCCTCCTCCTCCTCCTCGTCCTAATACACATCCTCATAAGAGGGCTCCATGGGTCCTCGTCCCCGTTATCATCCTCGTCCTCCTCATCCTCCTCCACCTCGTCCTCGCCCCCGTCCTTGGTCTCATCGTCTACCTCTTCCTTTCCTCCTCTTCCTCGTCGTCGCGGTCGTCGTCGTCTTTCTCCTTCCCCCATCGTCCCCACGCGGGCCCCAGGGATGGCCCGACGAGGCCGTCCAAAGCCATCTCCTTGCTCCCAGAAATCTCTCTGTTTACAAGGTGGCCCGCTTTGTTTCACAAAGTGTGTCTCTTCGTTCCTTTTTCTCGCCAGCTCTCATGGGCTGGATTTCTGAAGCGTGGAGAATGATGTTCATGTCGTGCTTGGTTCGTCGAAAAAGAGGCGGCGAGGGCGGCAACCCGAGACAAATACGACCAGGGCACCACATCTGCTGTCGGTGGAAGAGATACGGCCCGACGAAGATCCAAGGAATTGAGCTGACCTTTCCCTGCCGCCCGAAAGACCTGACCCCACCCACCCCTACTTAGCAGGCGAAGGACGGAAGCTCTGGGAGACGCAAGATTCGGGTTCGGGGGACTCAGGTTTGCCTGAGGAAGCCGCCAGGAAAATGACGAGACCCAATCTGAAACTTGACGTGAACTCCCGCTGCGATCATCCCCCGAAAACTGGAACGCTGGAACGTCAGAACTCAAGACGGGCCCGACAAAAAAAGGGCTGGCAAACCCGACCTCGGGATATCTGGAATCTTACGCCTCCCCCAAAGGAGTGCAGGCGAGGGCAACCGACGAGGAGATCTGGACGCCCGAAATGGGCACGGGAAGAATGGATAAAATGCCCAACAGCAAATGTTGTCCCGAACCCACTGCGGCCGCTGTTGGGCGGGCGGCCTCCTGTCTCGAAGGGACACGGGCCGCGGCGGCGCGGACGGCGAGCCCTGTTCAGAATGAACAGGAACTGCTGTTGGGCATTGCACCCATTCTTTCTGTACCCATTTCGTGCGTGCAAAAGAAAGGCTGGCAAACCCGACCGCAGGCGATCTGTAATTGTACGCTTCCCCCAAGAAGAAGAGGAGGCGAGGGCAACCGACGAGGAGAGGTCCTTGGACGCCCGAAATGGGTACGGAAAAACTGGGTACAATGCCCAACAACAAATGCTGTCCCGAACCAACAGCGGCCGCTGTTGGGCGGGCGGCCTCCTGTCTCGAAGGACACGGGCCACGGCGGCGCGGACGGCGAGGCCTGTTCAGAATGCACAGGAACTGCTGTTGGGTATTGTACCCATTTGTTCCGTGCCCATTTCTCGGGCCGGGCGAAAGGGGGGGATGGCAAAGGGGAGGGGTGAAAATCAGCTCAGGTAGCTGATTTTCCTGGCGCCTCCCGGCGCCGGAGGAGGCCATGTCTCGAGGAATGGGCCCTTCGGTGGGGCCGAAACCAGCTGCATGCAGCAGATTTCGTAATCCCCCCTTTCCCACCCTGACCTTCCAGAGAGCTATGTTTTAGCACTGGAGGCCTAGAAACCTAAAAAACTAAGCGAAACAGCCTAAAACCAAGACGTAGAATGGCTTTGGGATAGGTTTTTAAGTCGCGTGTTATTGTTTGGCCCTCTTGGAAGGCCAGGGCAATCCCCCCCTTTCGTCCGGCCCGAATTTCGTTCGTGCAGAGGCGAGGAGAGGTCCTCGGGCCCGACGCGGCCCGGTAGCTGGACCCCGGCAGCTGCACGCCCCTCGGCACGTAGGCGTCCCGGTAGCTGTAGCTCATGGCACCATGCGGGCGGCACAACCCTCCCCGCCTCGTGCCGTCCAGTGCCGTTCTCGCGCTCCACCTCCTCCTCCTCCTCCTCCTCCTCCTCCTCCTCCTCCTCCTCCTCCTCCTCCTCCTCCTCCTCCTTCTATTACTCCTCCTCCTCCTCCTCCTCCTCCTCTTCCAACGGATCCTCGAAGCCCGAGGACCGGGGCTTTCACATGTTTCTGCCCTACGTGGAGGCCTGGGCCGATCTGGAGGCATCCGGGGACCTCCTTTCCTTCATCCCCGCCAGGTCCTTCCGTATCCTCCTCTTCCTCCTTATCCTCTTCCTCATCCTCCTCGGTACCACCATCAGTAGCATCGTCGTCATCATCATCAGCATCACCATCAACAGCAGCATCGTAATCAACAACATGATCAACATCGTCATCATCGTCATCATCATCACCAGTATCACCGTCAACAGCATCATCATCAGCATCAGAATCACCAGCATCATCATCAGAATCACCATCCGCATCGTCATCATCACCAGCCTCATCATGATCGTCAGCATCAGCATCATCAACAACATACTAATCATCATCAGCATCAGCATCATCACCACCAGCACCAGCAGCATCATCTGCCTCCTCCTCATCACGATCATCATCATCATCATCATCATCATCATCATCAGCAGCAGCAGCATCATCATCAGCATCATCATCAGCAGCAGCATCATCAGCATCAGCATCAGCAGCAGCATCAGCATCAGCATCAGCCTCATCATCATCATCATCATCATCATCAGCAGCATCATCATCATCATCATCATCATCCTCCTCCTCCTCATCATCATCATCATCATCATCATCATCATCATCATCATCGTCATCATCATCATCAGCATCACCCACCATCGCCACAAGCACCATCACAATCATCATCACCATCACGACAACCCTAATCACCATCACCATCACTATCATCACACGCATCATCAGCACCATCATCATCGCCATCCGCATCATCGTCATCATCATCATCAGCAGCATCATCATCATAACAATCATCATCGTCATCATCTGCAGCAGCATGCTCATCAGCATCCTTCTTCATCATCGTGACAATCATTATCGTGATCATCTCCATCACCATCCTCATGATCATCATCATCGTCGCCCACATCAACATCACCGTCATTATCCTCATGAGCATCATCACCACCACAACCATCATCACACCTCACCACCACCGTCCTAATCACCATCAACAACCATCATCATCACCACCATTATCCAGCATTAGCATCGCCACCGCCATCACCATCACCATCACCATCATCACCAACATCATCTTCATCGTCAACATCGTCATCATCATCATCGTTACCAGCATGATCAACAACAACATCGTCAACATCATCGTCATCATCATCAGCAGCATCATCGCACGTAACACCACCATCACCTTCGGCATCCGCAGATTCACCGTCGTCGCCATCACCATTTCTACCACCACCATCACCGCATCCGCCGTCGCCATTGGCATCACCTCTATATTCACCAGCACCATCATCATCACATCATCGGCAACGTCCTCATCACGGGCACCCTCCTTGGGCCCTTCCCACCTGGGCAGGAGAGCCCAGACTCGAATCGATAAGTCGGATCGGTCGCATGGGCAGGCAAGTGTGCCTCCAATGAGAAATCGGATCCCAAATCGGAATCCCAAGTCGAATCCAATCGATATCGGAAACCATCGAAGTCGAATCGAATCGAATCGGAAGAATCGAAACGAGCCCTGCCTGGGGCCCCCTCCTCGCTCGCCTCCACAGACCGCCGAAGCCGTGTCTCCGTCACACGGCGCTCCTCGCCCCACCCCCCACCCCACCAACCTCTGGACACCACCACGGGGATCGCCTCTGCTCCGCGGAGCGCCCCTGGTGGCCCCGGAGCCCAGAGGAGAGCCCCCTCGAAGGCCTGAAAGCTGGGGTGACTCCTCCTCCTCCTCCTCCTCCTCCTCCTCCTCCTCCTCCTCCTCCTCCTCCTCCTCCTGATCCTGCTCCTCCTCCTGCGAGCTTCGAGATTCGAGCTGCGGACGTGTTTTGTGTTTAACGACACTGGAGCCCGCGCAGCCCTCCCCCTGGCGACGCCGGGAGGGTAAGAGACAATGAAGAGGTAAGGAGAGAAAGAGGGGACGACCGAATGGCGGACTCCTCCTCCTCCTGCTCCTCCTCACCTTACCCTTGGGGCTTCGCCCCGAATCTGCTCAAAAACGATGCCGGGGCCCCTTAAAACAGGGCTCGGATCGGGATAAATCGCTCCAGAGCGTTCCGGAGCGCTCTCAGAGCGTTCCGGAACGCTCTGGAGCGGCCGCGGCGCCCAATACATCCTCCAAACCCGCCGATTCTCAGAGATTTCGAGTTATCCCGATCCGATTTTGTCCCGATCTTCGCGTCGTTTTACCCCTCCCGACGGCCACCCTGGCCACTCTGTCCAGCCGCGTCCGGCCGCGGCGACGAGGACCTCTGGAGACGCCTGGAAAGAGCGTTCAGAACAAGACGTAGACGTCGTCGACGTCGACGGCGACCTCCTGCCTCCTCCTCCTCCCCCTCCCCCTCCTCCTCCTCCTCCTCCTCCTCCTCCTCCTCCTCCTCCTCCTCCTCCTCCTCCTCCTCCTCCTCCTCCTCCTCCTCCCCCTCCTCCCCCTCCTCCTCCCCTCTTCCTGGGGAGGCCGCGGGCCCCCCGGGAGGCGTGCAGAGGCCCGAGCAGGGCCACCGGAGCCTGAGAATCGAGAGCCTTGGCCACGCATCGAGCCTCCTTGTCCTCGATCCCCCTAGACGAGGGGCGCCGACGTATGGCGACCTCGACGCCGACCTCCGGCTTCCTCCTCCACCTCCAGCAAGTGCCTCCAGAGCCTCTGGAGTCCGAAGCCTCGAGCCTCGACGCAGCCCCAAAAATCATCCCAAACAGTACCACATACACTAGAACGAAAAGCTCCGAAACGAGCACGTCGATCTACGACCAACCAAACTCCTGACCCCCGACCGCTGATCCTCCAAAAACAGAGACGACGACGACGACGACTTCTCTGAAAACGAAAAAAGAAGCCCAAATACCACTATTCTCTGGACCTCTCCTGGGGTGCAATCTGACCAGGATCTCGAGGTGAATCCAGCCGTGGCGACAAAGGCCTCCCAGGAGGCCTCAAGAAGGCGAAAACGAGGGAGGGATAGCGGCATCAGTACCGCTTCCTCCTCTGAACTTCGACGTCGACCACTTCGACTGCCGCGCCGCCGCCGTCGACGTCGAAGCCGCGGCCGTCGGCGCCGGTGGCGGCAAGAGGCTCCTGGGGCAATGCCAAGGGGGATCGCAACCAGGGGGGTCGCGGCTTCCTGCAGGAAACGCAAATTTTCTCGTGGACGTCGGCTCCGAGAACACTACGGGGCCTCCCCAACCGACCCCAGACTTCCGAAAGACTTCTCGAGCTTCGATCCTGGAACCTCGATTTCCAGAAGCTGGTGACCTCGTGGTGAACCTTGGGCGTGGACTCGACGTCGACGTCTGCGATTTCGACGACCTTGCCCTCATCGAAGACCGTCGTTGACGTCCGAACAGGCCGACGCCGCCGACGCCGACGACGACGACGACCACCACGACGACGACAGCCACGACGACGACGACGACGACGACGACGACGACGACGACAGCCACGATGACGACATCCACGACGACGACGACGACGAGGACGACTTCGAGTTCACCTTCGAGTCCGAGTGCCAGCGCGAATCCGAGCTGGACTTCGAGCTCGAAGCCGACGCCTTCTGCTTCCGCGCCGACGCGGGCGACGCCGTCGACGTCGAAGGCGCCGCCGTCGGCGCAAGGTGGCGGCCAGGGGCTCCGCAGCGGGGCGGGGAGGGCGGCCGCAACCGGGCGCGCCCGAGCGGGCGTGGGGGGGGGCTGACTACCTACCAAACCACCCCAACCCAACCCGAAGATCCGCTTTTCCGGGTTGGGGGGGTGGCGGGGTACGGACTTCCCGCGTGCTTCTGTCGAGGTTCCCCACCCCACCCCCACCACACTGGAAATGGAGGGCAAATATTTGAAGGGGCCCTGGGACACACAAATAAATACACACTAATAAAATGATTCCCCATCTTTTCCCGTATTTTCTGGCTTTTGTCTTCCCGCCCAATTCCCATATTTTCCGATATTTTCTTGGGCATCGACGATTAATTGTGTCTGTGTGTTTTTCCTCCTCCTGAATATGGAGGCCTTCGGGTTGGGGTGGGGTGGCTTGGTGGGCGGCGGGGGGGGCGAGGCGGGGGGCTGAGCCGCCCGACGCGGGCGAGAGGGGGGCGGCGCTGCGGGCCGCGGGCGGCCTGCACGGCCCCGCCGCCGCCGGTCGGACAGCCACTTCTTGCCGAGCCAGGAACGGACAGGCAAGGCAGGGGGAGGAGGAGGAGGAAAAGGAGGAGGAGGAGGAGGAGGAGGAGGAACAGGAGGGGGAGGGGGAGGAGGAGGAGGAGGCAGGAGGAGGGGGAGGGGGAGGAGGAGGGGGAGGCAGGAGGAGGAAAAGGAGGGAAAGGAGGAAAAGGAGGAGGAGGAGGAGGAGGAGGAAAAGGAGGGAAAGGAGGAGGAGGAGGAGGAGCCTCGGCGGCCGCGAGCGAGGGAGGGGAGGCGGCCCAGGCCCTGACCAGAGGGCGGGGGGGCCGCACGGCCGTGCACGGCCCCCTGGGCGCGTGGCTGAGAAGGGGCTCCGCGGTGCGGGCTGCCGCGGCATTGCCGTCGTCGTCCTCGCCCGCGGCCCTCCCGCGACCCCCCCCGCGCTGGCCCCCTCGCTCGCTCGCCATCGCTCGGACGTCCATTCCCTGTGTTTTTTGTTGGTTTCGCGCGTGGTTTGTCGCCAAACGATCAAGGATGCTCCTCGATGGTCCTCGCCGAAGGAAAAATGCACACGTCCGAGCGATGCCAAGCTCGTATCCGTAACTGCGGGGTGCTACATCTAGCAATTTCCGCGTAGCGGTCGCTACCCAGGGGAGGGTGGGGGGCCCCAGGTAGTGACGACGCTTCTTGCGCGGGGT